GTGTGTGTGTGTGTGTGTGTGTGTGTGTGTGTGTGTGTGTGTGTGTGGGTGGGTGTGTGTGTGGGTGTGATATCTACCTGGGTTTTGGGACTCAAGAACTTGTGAAGACGAGCTGCGGCGGGGATGCGACACCGAGGTCTTAGCGGCAAAGAGGGGCTCTATATAAAGGTATCACTGGGGGGCGTGTTTAATGGGTTGGGTGTGTGTGTTTGGGGGGTCACTGGGTGTGTATGTGGGGGTCACTCTATGGGGGTGGGGGGGTGTCAGGGATCAGATGGGTGTGGGGGGCACTCTATGTGTGGGGGTGGGGGGTCAGGGATCAGATGGGTGAGCAGCTGACAGGTCCTGGTCCGTCAGCAGTTTTAGGACTCGCAGCTGAAGGTCTCAGTGGAAACTTGCTGCTTCCTGACGTCTTTCATGGTTCCACTGTTATAAATCTTACCTGAAGAACTGTGAGTGGGTTTAAACGGACCGTGGCTCCTGCCGGGTCAGAACTTCTCCTCGAACCAACAGACCAGGGTCATGAACTTGGTCTTCGGTGATTTGCTGCAGAGTTCGTGCACGCTTCAACTACGAGCGCTTCCTGAAAGCTGATTGGCTCACATGTCCAAATGAGCTTTATTTTATTTCATTAATTCTTCACTTCAAGCACAAAGCGTGAAAATAAAACAATATCATTAATTTTTTTAACAAAATAGTTTGTTTTTACTAAATGACAAAAGTCTGTTCAAAACCTCATTTATGATTAAATGAGAAATATTAAAAACAAAATAAAAGAAGTTTTTTACGTTCACCAAAAAAAGTTTTGTCTTTGTTTTATAGTTGTACGAACAAAAAGTGTTCATATCGTTAACAACAACTTTTATAAAATAATGTTCACAAATTCAAAAAGAACATTTAATTTGACTTTGACTTTTAATTTACAGGAAATTACAGCAAAATCCTGATTTAGTTTTTTATCTTTCAAACTTTGTGTTTCAGTCCGAGCATGGAGAACAGACCAGCTGCAGAATAATGAAATAACATTTTTATAAAAACAAACTGTAACTTTAGAACATTTTATGAGTTTTGATGTCGTCTGTAAACACTACACTACCCATGATCCTCTACTGTATGTTGCCATGGAGATGACACAAATTGAAGTGTGTGAGTTTATCCAGAGGAGTCTGTTGGTGTTGATCCCAGTGACTCTGAGTGGCTCCCGGTGCATTCTGGGAGATGTAGTTTGTCTCAAACAGATTTCAAAACATTCTTTGGGCTGATCCCGGATGGTCGGACCGTCAGAATCATTTAGACCAAAAGATTCAAACTGCAGATTATAGATTAATCTCAGTTTAAAAAGTCTTGAATTTCACAGTAATCTCACATTTTTGTCAGACTTCAGAATAATCTCATTTCATAAGAAATGTCTCCGTATTACAGATTAATCTAAAATCAGATGGTTGCAAGTTTAGGAATAATCTATGTTAAAATATTCTTAAATTTAAATAGAAAGTCTCAAACTTCAGATTACAGCTCAGTCAGAATTTAATCCTTACAGGTTTAGTTGATTTTCCAGATGGGTCACCCCACCCCCGCACCTCCTGACCGGGTCATCCCCCACCCTCTGGGTTCTGTGTGTGTGTGTGTGTGTGTGTGTGTGTGTGTGTGTGTGTGTCCACCTGATAAATATATAGCACACCAAAAGCAGCAGCTCTTTATCTGAAGTTCCGACCTTGACCCTAAATATAAACCTTCTCCTTATCTGGGATGGAAACCACCCTCTTCTCCTGGGGGGACGCAGTCCACTCTGCAGTCCTGAGGGGGGACAGGGGTCCAATCGGGTCATATCAGACCACACACCCCTCAATCACACACCCCAGACCTCCTCCTCCTCCAGCCAATCCAGTTCCTGCAGAAGGAAGCTTCTGAATGTTTGGTTTCTGGAGCTTCTTGTTGTTGAAGCTCTCAGAAAGTGATTGTTGGACTTCCATCTACAAAAGACAAACGTCTCTAACTCCTTTACGGACAATGAGCTAATATTTGGTGTGGTAGTAGCTGAGAGTCATCCCTAACACAGACTCTGAGCACATCAGGTCTAGATGCAAACAGACAAACCTTTAGCTGTTCGCATCATCAGCCAGGAACCGATCTCTAATCTGTCCACTCTGTCCCAGATTTACCTGCGACAGGTGGCCATGAAGCTGGACGGTACCAGGCCCAGATGGGCCCAGTGTGTGTCAACCCGGGTTAAACGTCTGCAGCTGCAGCCAACCTGGAAGGAGTGGAGCTGAGCATCCAGAGAGCATCACATCCAGCCAATGAGAGGAGTTGGACAGAGCTGGACAGGGACAGACATGGACACTGAAGGGAATCCACTTGTCTTTAAAGTGGACCTTTGTCTTTTTGTTTGTCATCCTAAAGGTTAACAATGAGAAGTGAAGTAATTTGAGTTTGTTATTAATTTGGCATGTAAAAATGAGTAAAGACCACAAGACTTCATGAGGACTACAAGACTTCATAAAGACCACAATACTTCATGAAGACCACAGGACTTTATAAAGACCGCAAGACTATATAAAGACCGCAAGACTTTACAAAGACCACAAAACTTCACAAGGACCACAGGACTTTATAAAGACCAAATACTTTATAAAGACCACAAGACTTCATACAGACCAAGAAACTTTATAAATACCACAAGGCTTTATAAAGACCACAATACCTTATAAAGACCATGAGACATCATAAAGACCACAAGACTTTATATAGACCATGTGCACAACAGAAAACCGAACCATTTGTCTTCAGACATTTGCAGGTGGTCACCTCTCCTCCAAGACCAAGGGATGTGATCATTTTGGACAAAATATGCCGTTTTTAACCAAAACGTAACTTTTGATGTTCTTTTTATGAAAGATGTGTCTGCGAGCACAAACCTTGATGGTTTACAGCTTACTCCATGAAGGGACTGAGTCCAGGGACATCTCTGGGTCCACGGGGTCCAGGTACATCTCTGGGTCCACGGGG